AAACAATTCTATTGGGTTTGGGGGGATTTCCGACAAATCACCCCCATCATTATGCGTTGCTCCCGATCATTTACTGTCACCAGTTGTATTAGCAAACATCCTTTGTGACGTAACATGCATGTCCTTACACTGACAACAAATATGAGAGCTCTTTCTCACTAACAAGATTTCACCAAATGGATCCTCGATGAAAAAAAGTGGAACATTAGTTAAATTGTTGAACATTGTTGCTTATGGTTGAAATGGGATGAAAGACTTTGACTGGGTATACTAGTATGTAGCTTTATATTGTTGCGTCTGTTTTTAAATGTGGTAAATTTTAGATTGTTTTTATTTCTCTTCTTAATATGGTTGACTTTGTACCGTGCTTCGAGCTTTTGGGGATGAAGCGTGTTTTTTAAATAAACTGTATTATTATTATTATTATTAAATTACCTTCATATTGTTTTCCTGTTAATTCTAATCCCGTTCAACAACCATATGGCGACATCGACTTCTCAACTGTCACTCCGGAACAACTAAGTACGCGAGCTATATTTACACGGCGACAATTTCCTCTTAGATTATCCTTTGCAATGACAATTAATAAGGCACAGGGATAAAGTTTCAAAAAGATATGCCTTTTTTTACCAAAACCGGTCTTTAGTTGTATGTAGCTCTCTCCAGAGTTCCATCTTATAACGCAATTACAGTTTTATCCTCAAAGCCACCCCATTTTGACAACTGTGTCTTTCACGAAGTCTTCACTCATCTATGAGAAATGAAGACTCAAGCTTACATCTTAGGAATAACTATAACATAACTGATTAAATATAATTAAATTTACTTCTTACTACAAATTAAATATAATTAAAGATATTTCTTACTACAGCTCAAATACAAGATCGTTACTGCCAGTGGACAGTTTTGATATTTTACAACATTGTAGCTGGCAGTTGATAGAGTATACGTTTGTATTTTGTAGAACTGACAAAGAAACTGTTCGGTGAACAGGCGTAAATTACCTCAAATAGGGTTTAAAAAATTAATATCTTGGCTAATGAGCGCTCATTAAACATATTATATAAAACGACGGCATCACCAAGGTCGATTAACATTGTTGGGGGGGGGGTGGTGGCTCCTTGAACACGGCTATATAATATAGATAGATTTATAAATTTTAAAGTAAGCATACTTTTATAAGTATGGCTTAAACTCATTGAACACGGCTATATATAATAATATAGATTTATAAATTTCAAAGTAACCATACTTTTATAAGTATTATATAATTCGCCAGCAAAGGTCAAACACCACCTCCACGCAGGCTATATATAGATACGCCAGAGTATGGTTAAATAATGTACTCACTAGCGCGCAAAATCTAATTCCCCATAACAACGCTAAATAATATATATATATATATTGTGGAGAGTTCGGACCACGAGCGCCGGGCAGATCTCTCAGCAGGGTTACCGGCCACCTGGGGTTACCGGCCATCTGGGGTTACCGGCCATCTGGGGTTACCGGCCATCTGGGGTTACCTGCCATCTGACCAGGGTCGACTGATCAAAGCGCCAGGTGCGTCAGATCTCGCGGCAGGGTACCGGTCATCTGACCAGGGTGTGTCCCTGGGACGACTGGTTGGTAACCTGGTGGCGACAGGGGTGGGCGTAGGCTCCGACTGATCAAAGGGGGGGCACGTAAGATTACTGACCTGAGGAATGCAGCGGGCAGGGATGAGGGCAAAACCACGGCAGAGTTCAGTCCAGGTGTTTGGCGCGTAGCGGACAAATCAAGACTTAAGAAGGTAGGGGGAGTAATCTCTAGGGACGCCTCGGTTGGCTGGTGGACTTATAAATAGGGACCTCTGGACAGGACTAGGGAGCGCGGCCGGATGGTAGGAGAAGAGGGCAGTCAGAGTTGCGAGATGAGAGAAAGTATAAGCGAAGTGTCAGCCTAATAAAGAGCAAGATTTTAATCATCAAATGTTATCGCCTGAGTTGTTCTTTAGTAAATGCCAGATATAGATGGAAGGTTAGCAGAGAGTAAGCAAGGTTTCCTTACAATATTAATAACGCAACTGCGTTTGGTGCGTAAAATTTTCTCAATTTAAGTATTGTGTAAAAAAATTCGGTTAAAAAAGTGGTTGGGACAAGAGAATATTTAATATATTTCATGAGTGTGAAATAAAAAGTGTGCTGTGACGTATCATGGGGGAAGGGGTTTAGCAAAATTTGTGATTCTTTTAAATGTGCGTTACTTGAGTTCATGTTTTGTCAAATAACTTTACTAGATGGGAAGTTTACGTATTGCTGTCGTCAATGTTTGGCGGGTTATATCTAGTTTGTTTTAATGTGTGAATGTCTGGTAAAATTATATGACAAACTAGCTTCCGCTATTTGACTTCAATTCCTCTTATTAATCAAGTTAGTCTAAAAAATCTGCTGATTAAAAGGATACATTTGTCTCATTGCTTTTGAGTCAAAGTAAAAATATTTCTTTATCATCTTAAATAAAGATCTTTAAAAAAGTCACGGAGGCTAGAGAAAATTATCAAATTATTTTTAAAAATTCCTTCAATTTAGATTTACTCGATGTAGCGATCATATACGTGTGGTTATGATGTTACTTGTAGATTTGGTAATTATAGCTTAGACTATTCATCCATCATACGGCCATGCTTGTCCAAACAAGTACCAGAGAACTATTTGGATTAGCACTACGACGTTTATTGACTGATCAACGAACACAGAATGAAATAATGTCTCTGTAGATCAGAGTAAATATAAGTGTCATATATGTAACTATTTCCACTTCATAAGTCAACATTAAGATGTTGTTTAATCATTAAAATGATCGTAGCACGCGTTAAATAAATATTTCTCCATATGTCACTGAGTCGATTCTCTGTCTATTCCATAATTCCTTAACTTCCTGCTTTTTCTACTTAGCAAAACAAAACTTTTTTTTAAAAACAAAATTGATATCCAAATATCTGATCTGTGACACTCGCGATAAATGACTGTAAGAATGTTATTCAAAAACGTGAATTAAATTTGAGCGGATGTCTTTTTATAATGCTCATCCATAACGGCGAGTGAGTTAAAGATAGACACAAAGTACGGTGAAATTCTATAATACTACAACATTATGGCTCTCCCTCTTAATGATTGCATGGAGGGAGCTATGTTTTACTGTGTGATATAATTTCTGTAGACTTATTGGTAGTTCAAATTCCTCACATACGTAACCTCTGCATACAGTCCTCTGTGGGCGATGTTAAGGCGGCATCATCAGTGAACGAATTAGAACCATTTTTACTCTTGTCTTTCATGATGGCTAGCGATATTGAAAATTCTTCATTAGATCTGTTATTTATAGTCTGTCCATCTTCACAGTCGCTGAAGGCAAGCTTAAGTATCATTGAGAATAAAAAATACAATGTATTGAAAATGGCATGCGCCTACAACATTACCTCATCTTTAAAACAATGACAAATACAAAACCCCTTCATTTCCATATGGATTAATAAACCTTATCGAAGCACGTCCACATTTCTCACAGTTAAACACACTTGTGTTAGAAATGTAATTTATTTTTACTTTGAATGTTTTCCGACTGCAATCATTTAAGACTTATATCATTTAATTAAAACACTGAATCAATAAATGGCTCTTGAATTTGCTAGCATGAAACTTACATGAGAGTTTCTAATCTGCCGTTCGTGATATTTTAGAGCTTCAAAAAATTGTAATTCGCAGAAATATCAAGAATTGTACTAGAGTTTTAAAGTATTGGTATACTTATGCATAGCTATACAAAAGGTGCCAACGACATTGAACTACATTTTACGACATTTTTATAACATAGATTAATTTATTTTAAAAGATAATTTTAAAACCTTTTTTCAAGACTGTAATATCATCAGATTTAAAGATATAATCATCAACATAAGCTATACAAGCTCCCTTTTCTTCGCCTGAAATTTGTATTCATCAGTCAATAAAACCTTCTCTTTAACAAATTATGATGCGTAACATTTTTGGGCTTATTACTATACCCATAAAATAAACCTCTTTAATGTTGCGTATCTGGTGCTGCTCGTGGATAACATAAACAATGCAGACCCTCCCCCATCCGACACTCAAATTTTTAAAAAATATTTTTTAAACCGATTAGTAACCCCCGCACGCCCGTAAACTATATTATCATTCTAATGGACAACCCCCTTTTAGAAAAATTTCTACTACATATGCTTTAAAAGTACTTCAACGATTATTTCCTTATATAAAAAAACACTTTTATTTATTATTAAATTTGGTTTCAAATTAATAACAGGAAAATACAGACACAAAGACTGTCAAGCTTTTGTTTACAATATCTTAACTCTCTCAAAATAAACTATTACCAGAATTCTTTAATTATATTAATTAATGTATTTCTAATGTATTAAAATATATAATTACATATACAATATAACGTAACCTTACCTATAAGCGCATTTAATTTATCAGATTTAAATTATTTTTATTTGTATACAGAAGATAAAAAAACTATATTTAGAGTAATCAGAGGTTCCTTTTTTTGAGTATATTTGCAAAGCAGCAATACATTTCTAACATCATGGACTTTTAAGGAGAGTTTATCCACTCTATAATATAGACTCACCCATTCTTTTTTTCACACTCCTGAACTAGATAGACAAATAACATTTCATTAAAAAAAATCATCATAATACCTGAAAATATAGAGATTACATATACTTTCATAAAAGTAGATTTACTTTATCAAATTGAATTTTATACCAAGTGCAAGGCACCGACATTTGCAATTCTTATACATAAAATAATAATATTAAGAATTAAGTTGTTATATATTTCACGAAATAAAGTTTTAAGGCTATTAAAATTTGGAGGGGTCAAATTTTATTTACCATTAGTAGATTACTTTGATAAATATAACCCTAAGCATTTCAAGACACAGGTCTACACATGCACATATAATTCTGGCTCGGGCAAGGCTAAGGAGGGCATGGGTATAAAAGGAATTTTGAACGCTTCGAGCAAGCAGAAAGTCTCCATAGTTGAAGTATATTTCAGCTCATTCGGTTGCAATTTCGTCACCATGAAACTGATTTGTGTTGTCACGGTACTGTTGCTCGTCCAATGCTGTAAGTGTGAAATAATAATTTACTTAATGATTTTACATTGCACACATTTGCATTAAATATTGCCGAGAAATTAGTAAATTAAGTTATTTTGTTGCTTAAAAAAACACATTTTGAAATCCTTTTAATTTTTAGGCAAAGCGCTGAAAACTTGTGACAATGCAGCTGATTGTGACGCCCCGGCATATAAAACAGATGTATGCACTGACAATAAGTGTCAATGTGCAACAGAATGGACCCTAGCAGGGACTGTGTGTAATCGTAAGTATTTATGTCTTTTCTTTGTGTTTTATTCACTGACTTTCGAATATTTCTACTCTTCTATATCGTTTACTTGTTCATATTATGAACATTTTTGTTACGTACGATATACTCATATATTCTATCACAAACACATATGCACATATGACACACGCCTTTAAAAAGACATAAACAATCCCTCACAGCAATTACACCTTTAAAATTATATAACACCGACAAAGTGATTACACGTTTTAAATTACATAAATAAATACACATAACCTAACTGATATTATATCTTTAAAAATTATTTGAATAAATTATAATTCCAATAATTAAATTTGTGCAAGGAAACCTTGTGACAAATCATGTTAATTTCAAAAGTATGTCCTTTGTACTGTATTAAGAGTTTTTTTTTTCCTTTTAAGCCCCAGTGCCAGTGGTTTCACGACTTCAGCCTAACCAGGACCTTTACTTAAAAGAAAGCTACACTCTATCCTGTGACACACCTGTTACTGGAGGTGGCTTGACATTCTCGTGGCTTAAGTAAGAAAAACTTAATTTAAAAATATTCTAACACCATACAAGTAAAAGCATTCTAATTATATGAGTAAATTAAACAACCATTACAAAAATGGTTTTTCGCACAAATCCTTTCTATGCCTTTTTTGTTTGCATTTATTTGATTGTGCAAGAGATTTATCATTTATTAAGAAGCTGTTCTAAAGATAAATTCATGGTTAGGGACGGTCTTTGACAGGGGAGTAAGTCTCTTCGTCTTAAAGCCTGGCATTTACTTCATCTGTACAAATCCAAATAGTGTTTAGAAGTCTCAGATTTCCCAAAAACTAAGTAGGCTTAAGCCAATTGCCTCCAACATCCAAGTAGCCTAAAAATTTAAGAGGCCACAATTTATGGATTCTCATGCTTGAAAAAAATAATAACATTTAAAAAAGAAAAATTCACTCTTTATTATTTTATCTTAATTTTAATAATTTTACAAGGTATTTAATATCTCAAGGGCAGGAATTTATAAATGTGGATTCTTACATTTTGAGATTTCAATTTTCTTAATGATTTTACAAACAATTTTTGACGTCAAAGAAAATTGAGCGCACTGAGTAAAACTAATATAATAGAGTCTTCGAGATCACTTGTATAAATAAGGCACCCACAGATGTGATGAGGTCAAAAGAATAGAAAATACTTTAAATAGCCACCTAACAACACCCGAAAGATGCAGTGGGCCTTTAAAAGTCACGCGACGGCTTTTGATAGTAAATTGTAGCGGAGAAACGGTGGTCATAAATTATTTCATTACTGAGCTTCAGATTGACATCAAAATAATAATGGTGAAAAATTGCATTACGTATTTCACACACCGATTACTCATTTAATTTTATCAGAAGTTCTGCTTTTGATTGCTTTATCCATCAAGTGTTCTGTTTCGGCTTTAAAAAAGACACTCATCCTTTCTTGTTATCCTCCACCAAAGGTTGGACAGTGTTAAAATCATTTTCTATCTGATTTATAATTGCCAAAATATGTATCTCAAACTAGCGGTGTTGCACTTTCAAAAGCCGCATAGACTATATTTTGGAAAGCTCCAGTGCTATCATTGATGCCCTTTTTTCCTTTATACTCCACGTTTAAGGGAAAATGTGATACCAGACTTCAAGCCAATGATCTTTTAAAGAACGTGGCAGATTGCAATTTGTGTTTATCATAAGATTGTTGGTCTGATGTTATGTTATTTTCATAAATTTAGCAAAACTATTAATAAATGAAAACTTTTTATAGGTTTTTACAATTCACGTAAAGGTTTTTTCCTATATATAATTTTAAAAACAAATTTTCTTTATGATTTAAGAAATTTAAATACGATTTTCGTAAAATAAAATTGCACATATTATTTTAGCGGAGCTAAAGATCTTCATAAGGATTCCAAATCGTACGTCATATCTTCCGCTCAAGAATCAGACAATGGTGCTTATACATGTAAAATTACTGCTGCTGGTGGAAGTTCACAGAGTGTTTCTCTACTTTTAAACTTTAAAGGTAAAACTTTGTCAATAAAAAAAGCAGAAAACTTTTACGAAATTCACTTAAGAATAGTCAAAACAAGATGAGTTACTTCATTTTTTTAGGAGAATGAAAAGATACAACATTAAACATTTCCCCTCACCTTAACCGTTGGATCAATTGTATCAAATGATTGGATTTAAAATGTTAAATTCATAAGCATTTTAACTATGGGCCGAAAAACCAGTCCCTTTTACCAAAATTAGTATTTTCGATAATGAAATTTACGAATACCTGAATCCCCATATTTTCAATATTGTGTCGAGATTAGAGGTGAGGATTTATTAATGAAATAAAAACAATTTTTTAAAAATAGCAATTTGATTGTTAATAAGCTTTTAACAATAACACAAATGCCTAGATTCAGACATTATCAAATATTAAAATAACTTTTTTAGTTTTAATCTTTGGTGAAATTCAAATAATGAGATCGTAAAAATGGCAATGTGTCTATGACGTTTGATCGTTTAATTTTGAGTGCAAATGGTAATAAAATTAACCTGATGATGAAATCACCCACTCAGACTACACAGATTTCTGGGCAATAGTCTTTACGTTTAAATAATGTCTTTGTTTCCGATTGTTTTATGTGCTTTTCATATTTAGGTTTACTTTTTTCAGTGTCCCCCCATTTCTTTCTATCAACATGAAGTAAAATGTGAATTACTAATATTGTTATAAAAAAATAAAAGTAACTTATACTTAGGGTATTTGATTATCAAAATACGGAGTAAGTCTTAGTTTTACATATGTAGATATTTTGGCATAATTAAAGTAAATCAAGTATTCAAACATTGCTGTTATTATTAAATGTTTAACCCGAGGATCGAGTGAAGCGTGTTATTATTCCCATACATTTCATGTTATAAAAAATTGTGAAATTAAGTCAGCATCTATCTTTATTCGACTACACCAATCCCTTATTTGTCAATAATATGAAAACATTTACAGTCTATCCTGTACCTTTACGTCATGTCTCACGTCTCCACTTACACACTACACACCCAGGTTGTAAAAACAAAACTTATCACAACGCCATGATTTTTTACAAATTAACAGTACACATTACAAGCCCGTCGGTCGGCTATCTTTGCACTTGGTGTGAAGGGTTCGCACTTTGCATATCACATAATAATTAATATTTCTTGCTTTAACCACGACATGGAAACTAAGAAAAGCGATACATTTTTTTTTTGAAAATGAAATCCCGGGAATTTCTGAAATCCCGGTTTTCATACATTCCAATCACCGTTTTTTCGAGCATCGGTTATTGTCCGGTAATCTACTATTTTAGAAAGTCGGAGTCCCGGATTGCGACCCTAAATTTAAAACCGCATATAAATATTAATAAAATGTCTTTAGTTTAAATTAAACAAATATTAGTTATTCTGAAATGTATAACATTTTATTAAGATTATTAAATAAATTTCTTTGGTTCAACACATGATGAAACTCACTGAACATTAGATGACATATAATTGTACTTTAGCATATCCTTTTATTTTTTAAAAATATTTTGTATTCCACCAATAGAACCAGGGAGGGAATGTACTGATAACACAAAGTGTAAAGGAACAGATTTGACAGGCTACACTGGGCAGTGTGTTTCAGGTCATTGCGCGTGTGCTAACGGCTATGTTCAAAAACTGGATAAGTGTACGAAAAGTAAGAAAAAATAAATAAATTAAAAAAAAAAATTAACGAATTTTTTGTTTTGATTCATTTGAACAATTAAAACAAACAATTCGTTAATTTTTATATTTATTTCTTATCACACTAATCTTTAAAACTTATTTCCCACAGTACATTTATCTGATATAATTTCTTTAAAATATAATTAATATCATTAAAGACACCATTGATTTTCAATTTAACAAAATTACTAAGTATTGATTTAGATTCTGTTAAATTGTGTCATAACTTAATCTGGTTAGGTGACTTTTTTATTTCAAATTCACGAAAACATGATAAATATAAAAGTAATTCAATTGATGGGGCATGCATTAGGTGTAAATGGTGCTCGCTAGTCTAAAAATTTTGAATTTAGTGGTGTAGGAAAGTGCCGCTGTGTTTGGCACAATTTTAATATGGAAGGGCGGTATTTTGGGGGTAATGGGCAACGCCGGTCTTTAGGGTGTGCGATATGTGCCCTCACACAGGGCGTCGTGGCCATAAGGACGCTCGGCTCGCCCAGTAAATATTTAAATTCCCTTGCTTTATTATAGTGAAAGTGTGAACCTTGGGTCCGGGGGTCGAGAAACGGTATTCTAACTTTTCTTACAATCGCTTTCATACAATGAATTTCCATAGAATGAAAGTTGCATTCCTAATGTGGATACTAATACTGGGGTCATCATCACAATACGTGCTCCAAAGCGCACGTCGTAATAGGAAAAGGAGCGGATTCATACAGGGAAGGGGGTGCCGAACGGTCGCTTCGTACAGGGCGAAAGTTTACCTAAGACCGGCTTTGTAATGGGATGGCAAGATTCTTGGTTCATCCCGGAATATGCAACTAATTGAAAAATAAAAACATATTATAAATCTTGCTTTTAAAAACTGAGGCTGCAATTAAAGGACAATTTGTTAAAATAAGTACACCATGCTTTTTTAACAGCTTCGACACATACTCTAGTTCAGAGTTGCTATTTTAGCTTAAATTCATTACTATCAGAATATTTTTTATCAAAGAAACAAAAATTGAATAATAATATCAGTTGTAATTAATTTACAAATTTGTTATACTTTTTTATTACGATTTTTTAATACATTCAAAGCTTCTTTCAATAATAAAATTTTGCGTTTAAATTTAAAAAAAAATAAATAAAAGCAAACTGCAAGTGAGAAGACAACCAAAAATTTAGCTACAGTTGAACCCGTTCATCTCTACCTTGATTAACACGTCAACCCTGTTATCTCGACTTTTTGAAGTGAACAGTCAAATTCTCTCTTTGTCTTAGCATTTTCTTCTTGGTCAAGTTGATTCTTTTATGTCAACAAAACCTGATATCCCGAGCACAAAAGGCGGCCAAATTTGCCACCTTACGACGTTTATCTCGACCCCTTACCAATCCCAGGCTTTTGAACTCCACAAGAAGAAATAGCAAATTACAAATAAACAAGTTTTGCGTAATTAAAAATAATGACTTATTTCTCAAAATTAGTGAAAGAATCTCTCTAAATTTGTGTTGTAAAGATCGTCCTCCTCGTGTGAAAAAAGCAGAATATAATAAGTTCATTATTACTCCCATACGTATACAAAAAGAAACTGAGTGGCTAAGTGGTTTAAAATGAGCAAATCTCCAGTTGGTGGTCTGGAGATCAATTCCAGCAAGAGCCCAGTCACGCAAAATCACCACCAGCACCCTGGGTAGATGGGACTCGTTAACCTTGGAAGGCAACTCATCTAAGAGAAGGAAACTCTGAAATCAAAACCCGGAGATGGGGTCCCGAAAGGCGGATAACATTGATGCAATGGAACATTCCGACAACTCCTGCAACGTCACTGGTGCCAAGCTGTATCATCCAAATGATGTTCCCTTGGGTTACCCAGAGGCGTGGAGAGAGGCGATTTGCTGTTGGGAACCAGCTTGTAAGCCTTGAAGAATAATCCAGACCATGTGGATTTCGTCCCCTGAAGCCCACTCTATCGTCACATTGTGCCAGCAAAAAAATACAAAAAAAAACTAGCTTTCCATTTGACCCCGTGACCTACCAGCATTGACCGGTCATGGGTTTATGTTCTGTTTTTCGCATCCGTGAAATCTATCGGAACGCCCCGCTATGTGAAGTTCCTTATATTGTAGAGCTATTTTTAAAGCATATAAATTACATTTTTATAACATTCGTATATAGAAAGTAGGTCTACTAAGTATGAGCCTAAGCAAGCTGTTCTAAAAATAAGACTAAAATGAATACTTCACAAATAAAGTATTTATAAATATAATATTTTAATCATATACAGGATACAGTCTAATCTAAATTTAATATAAAGTAACCTAGACCTAGTCTACGCCTAAAACATGTTAGTCTAAGGCCATATAACCTATTAATTATTACTGACTTAAATTAATAAATTAGGTATAGACTAAAATGTAGGCCTTATTTAGTGTATTAGACTCATTCTCATTTACTAGAATAAATGACCCGATGTTATCGGGAGTATAATGGTAGATCCTTTGTGATATTTCTAACTGCTATTGCATAAACTCATCATAATTCAAAACTTTAAAAATGTAATAATATTTACATTTCTAACACAATTACGTTTTGAGAAGAATTTAACTGCTTTATATTAAAGGCCTACCCAAATCCTTTTCACGCTCCTAAAAAAACTTTTATTGCTCTAAACATGACCTTAAATACACAGTCTAAATTATTTCTAATTATATCACTTTGGTTACTAAAAAAGTCAATTTATGGCAATTACTACGTTCGAGTAATACCTTAGATTTACCCCTTTTCGTGCCCTTGAATTGCGACTTTTTTTTCTTCTAAAAATTGTTCTAAAAACTGCCTTAAATTTACACCAAAAACTCTGTATATGATATAAAAATATTTTATGTTAAAGTAGCTCGAAATATATTGATATCTTCTGCAAAACATTAAACACATTTTTTACCTCTTAATAAAAAAAGTATTTATTATCAGAAAATCGTAAAAAAAAAAAAAAAGAATTATTTTATCTAGAGAAGAATCGCGCAACCTTTTTTCACACCTATAACAGATTTGAGTCTTCTTGTTATTTATGTTAAAGTAGATCGAAATATATTGATATCTTCTGCAAAACATTAAACACATTTTTTACCTCTTAATAAAAAAAGTATTTATTATCAGAAAATCGTAAAAAAAAAAAAAAGAATTATTTTATCTAGAGAAGAATCGCGCAACCTTTTTTCACACCTATAACAGATTTGAGTCTTCTTGTTTTTCAATTTTAAACGGTTAATCTAAAAAAATACAAATCTCTTTAATGTTTGCAAAGTAAAAACATAAATATATTTTATTTTTTTTTAAAGTAAATATTAGCCCATCCCAATGTTTCAAAATTAATTGTTCAAGTGTGTAAAATGATTGGGTTTTGATATTCATGGGTATACTTATATAATTGTACGCCATTGATCTTCTTGATTGGTAAACATACTTATATTTGTAAAGAGAAAGAGAGAGAGTACCATCTCTTTTTTCACATATGAAGTACCATAGGAGTTAACTATGTTGTCATCCACGTAAAATGTACACTTCTTATTTCCTACCTCCGACATGTATTTACCCAAGAAAATTAATTATTTATTAAAACCATTCCTTTATTTTTAGAAGTATGCTGTGCTGCTTTGAGCAAAATGAACATATCAATATTTGTAAAAAAGGAATGTAACATCCCTTTTCACAAATGTAAATTCATAAGAGTTAACTATATTGTCATCCACGTAAAAATGTACACATCTTATCTCCTACCTCCGACATAATGTATTTACCCAAGAAAATTAATTATTTATCAAAATTATTCCTTTATTGTGAGACGTATCTTGTGCTGCCTTGAGCAAAATGAACATACACATATTTGTAAAAAGAGAATGTAGCATCACTCTTTTTCTCAAATGCATTACCATATGATTTAACTATATGGTCATCCACGTGAAAATGTATACATCCTATTTCCTACCTCTGACATGGGTTAGTTAGATCTGCTTCAGTCACTCAGGAGCTGTCCTCTGACCACTTCTGTATTATTTGCGAGCTTAATGTAAGGGCCCCCAACCCTCTCCCTCAGTTTAGAGAAGTCCGCAGTCTGCGAACTGTCAACAGGGATGCCTTTAAGCATGACCTGAGTTTAGAAGTGTCCCACGCCCTCTGCCCTATATTGAAAATACTACACAGTGCATTGCGCGCTGTGCTTGAACGGCACGCCCCTGTCAGCCGCCGCAATTTTAGGTTAACGCGGTCTGCTACCTGGTATGCGACCATAAGGGAAGAACTACATAGTGACAAGAAAGAGCGGCGTAGTGCGGAAAAAAGTCGTTGAGGTCAGGTCTTGCGGTATTTAAGCAGATCTTTTCCGCTGCCAAGAAGCGTGTCACTCAGATTGTTTGTCGTATTTGAGCCAAAAGATAACTATGGGTAAAACCAACCGGCAGTTGTTTGATGTTTGTAGTCACCTTAGAAGGAGTAACAAAGGAACTCCTCTTCCTTCAGTATTTCCTTTGCCCCAGCAACCAGATATTTTCTGTGATTTCTTTACAAGCAAAGTTGCGAGCATTCGCGCTAAGCTTGAACGTTTTGATGCACCATCCCTGGATTTGCCTCCTGTTCCTTGTCTTACTTCAAATTTTGATACTTTTAAACCTGTTTCAAAAGTATAATTTTATAATCTAAACCTACGTCATGTTATTTAGATCCCATCCCCACTCCCTGTTTGTTGAGTCATTAGATCATTTGCTCCCAACGATAACCCACATAATAAATGAAAGGTTGTCTTCTTGCATTGTTCCCCATCTTTGTAAATCAGCTGTCATCAAACCATTTCTTAAGAAGCCTGGTCTGGATGAAAATAATTTTAAAAATTATAGACCTGTATCTAACTTATCATTTGTATCTAAAGTTATTGAAAAACTAGTTCTAAAACAACTTTTTGTTTTTTGCTTATTTAATTGACCACTCTCTTCTCAGTTCTAACCAGTCTGCCTATAGACATTTCCACAGCACAGAGACGGCTCTCTTAAGAGTGACCAATGACCTCTTGCTCGCATTGGACAGGGATGATATCTCCATCCTGATCCTCTTAGACCTCAGTGAGGCCTTTGACACTGTTGACCATGTAATCCTTTTCAAAACCCTTGAAAATTACTTTGGAATTTCTGGTTCAGTTTTGGCTTGGTTTAGTTCCTACCTCTCTGATAGAACGCAGGTGGTCTCTGTCGATGGCTTTCTCTCAGGCAGTGCTGGTTTGTTGTATGGAGTACCACAGGGGTCTGTTTTAGGCCCGATTCTATTCACATTGTATACCAGACCACTGCTCCTCTTGCTTTAGAGGCATGCTATTGAGAGCCAGTCATTTGCAGATGACACGCAGCTATACAAGCATACCCATCCTTCTCTTGTTGAATCCGCTGTCTAGACTCTGCGTGGGTGCATTGATGATGTCAAGTCATGGATGACACTCAGCAAGTTGAAGCTTAATGATGACAAAACAGAAGCACTCCTCATCCACAATCACACATCACCCTCTACCTCAAATCTTCCAACGTCATTTCAAGTAGGTAACTCTGACGTACGGTTTACACCCTCTGCTAGGAATCTTGGTTATATTCTTTCTAACAACATGTCTCTAGATAAACACATATCTCACATTTGTCGTTCAGCATACACCACTATCCGTCAGATCAGCTCCATACGCCACTACCTCACAGTTAGCGCTACAAAAACTCTAGTCTGTGCTCTTGTTCTCTCTCTCGTCTTGACTATTGCATCTCTCTTCTGTCAGGTTCACCAAAACACTGCATAGAAAAACTGCAGAAAGCTAAAAACTCAGCTGCTAGGCTAGTTTTAAAGACAAAAAAACGTGATCACGTCACTCCACTACTCCATTCCCTTCATTGGCTCCCTATACAAGCACGCATTGACTACAAGCTGTCTGTTCTCTGTCACAACTTTTTCTTGGATTCTTTCCGTTCATATCTAACCGAACTTCTTTCTGTCTATTCACCCCTTCACAGCTTCGATCCTCTGCAGACACGTGTATTCTGTCCGTTCCCAAGATACACACTAAAACATATGGTGAAGGCCCCCAAACAATGGAATTCTTTGCCACTACACATCCGCAATATACCAACCACCCAGGCCTTCAAAACTGCACTAAAAACATATCTTTTTAAATTATACTACCCTGACTGATTCGCCTCCTCTGATCGATAAATGATCTTGCTGGCTGCCGTCCATGGTTTGCCTTGTACAAGTTATGTGGTGGGGTGGGTGAATATACATTGCTGTACTTTAATTAGTAAATGTATTTTATTTTAATGTCATGATTATGTCTCTTTTCATAAAATTTTTATGTACAGCGCGGTGACCCCAGCCCTAGGCTGGGGTACCGCGCTTTATAAGACCTCTTATTATTATTATTATTATTTACCCAAGAAAACTAATTATTTATCAAATTCATTCCTTTATTTTGAGACGTACCTTGTGCTGCCTTGGGCAAAATAAACAGACACATATTTGTAAAAAGAGAATGTAACGTCTCATTTTTTCCCAAATGATATACCATAGGATTTAAATATATTGTCATACACGTGAAAATGTGCACATCCTGTATGTTCCCAAGAAGTGTATTTATTTATCAAATTCATTCCTTTATTTTGAGACGTATCTTGTGCTGCCTGGGCCAAAGTAACCAACCCCTTCCCACCCAGATTTAAATAAATTTAGAAAAATCTTCTACCGGATTGTTTGATATAATTTGATATTTATATCGCGCTGGCATCCATGCCACTTTAGCTTGCTCACTGCGCTCTGGTCATCCGAAATCTATTTAAACAAATTTTTTTAAAAATTATTTTTTAAATGATTTTTTATCATTTACAATTCCCCTCAAAGATTGAGGCAAACTCTTCCATAATTTTGGGGCTATCGCTTCAAAAGAGCGCACTCTGTAAGACATTTTATGTGTTCAACCACTCTAGGAAAACTCAGTAAGTACTGAGTTGAAGACTGCAGGCTCCTCAGAGGTACATGTTTATAAATAAGTTCATTGAGATATTCCGGTGCTGAGCCATCTATGGAGCTGTACGCCAGGGACAGAATTGTGTAGTTAATGTATTTCTTTCCATACCCAAACTAAAATAATTTGCACTTCATATGGTTCGTTCTTTTTTCTTTTAGTTATAAGTGGATTAAACAATGCTATTTAGCTATGGAGTTGCGCTGCACAGATTGACTTAAACTACATTTTCTTATTAGAATTACATTTAAAGGTTAGTTTTTACATGTTATGAATTTAATAAAAGTAAAGTTTTTGACAAAAATTTTTAAATGTAAAAATGTACAAAGCGAAAATGTGTGTGTGTTTTATTCCCAATTTAAAAAGCAATCAATTGTATTTGATTACATCTTTAAAATTGGACCTTTTTTTTAAAACACAAAATAAAGACTAAATCATAAGCTTAGGAGCTTACAATTAATGTTACTTTTAAGAAGGGAAAATACTTAATCAGTTTTGTCATGCGCGGTTATTGAATTTAAAGAAACCTAAGAGTTTTGGTGCAATAGGCTTTTCGCGCTATGACGTCATTTGCATGATTATTTAGAACAAATTATTTTTAATTTTAATTCGCAATATTAACAACGCACTAAAAGACGCACTAAAAACGACTGATGCTTGGGTTTTCCCGATAATTGTGATTACGGTGTAAATCTTCAATCATGATTTTTTAAATTTTTTAAATTTTGTCATAACTTTCAAACACATATAAAATGCTTAAAATAGTTCCTTAGTTAATTCTTTAAATTTATTGGTAATTTGTAACAATAATACTTAAACTTTTACAAAAATAAAAGCAGATTTAGAATATTTTTTGCCCATATAAATTTATTCCATTTCCGTAAAACAATAGAAAATAACTATGATTGTTTTTAGGAATCCGAATGTACTTAAAAAGTATATCCATTTTGACGTTATCTGAACCTAGCTCATTCTTATATATATTACGCAAATCATTGACATAAAGAAATCACAAGCGAATTTTAATATATTGCCGCTACATTGGTTTTCGTTTATCTCGATCATCGTTTATCTAGCTTTTTGGCAAACCCCTACGCCGTCGACATAACCGGGTTCTACTGTACATGCGATGTCAATTGTTCGATAGAAAATTTGTATTCACTTTGTTTTAAATTTATGCAAGATCGGTGTTTTCTCACTGTGCAGAGGGAATTTTAAAATCTTTGGAAAAAATCTAAAATCCTCATCCGATTTAGTCAGTGCCCACTTTATAATGAGAAATAGTCTATTTTTCTTACATTCCTGTAACAAACAATAGAAATTTGAGACGTAAATTTGAGTGAGTACTTTACATGAATTAAATCGGGATCCATAGCATTGAAATAAACCCGTTTTGGTAGTTATGGTAAGATTACGGAAGTAAACCCAATAAATAAATTCCGGAGACTTAAGTCCAGAAGTTGAATAGGCTATGATCTCATTGTCATCTTTTCAACTTCTGCCAAGAAGTAGATGCCAAGTTGATGAGAAATGTGTTATTCATTACGCAATATTATTATTATAGCTATAGCAAAACCCCACTATAACTTCTTCCCGAATTAACGCATCTCACTTAAATGTGACTTCAAACATAATCCAATCGGACACTTAAATTTTATGCATTTAATTTTTTGTCAAAAAAGTATTAAACAGAATTTGAAAATGGTCTAAATCACTTAGGAAGTTTGACAGCCCACAAAAAAATTAAAAGATATAGAAGGGGGTTCTCTTTTACATTTTCTGTAAACTGTACTGCATGATTTTAATGAACCTTAGTCTTATATTATGGTACATTATCCAAACAATCAAGTAACACTAGTAATAGACCACAACACATACCATTTCTATATCACAACATAAAGTAACAGTAACAGACAATAACACATACAATTACTAAATAAAAACACAAAGTAACAGACAATAACTCATGCAATTACAATACAATAGTCTTTAATTCATAATTAAGTCCTGGGGTGAAAAAACCACGGGTTGACAATTTTATTGGGTTACATTGGCGTAACAATAACAATGCATTTAAGGTGGGGACGCCTTCTTGCATAAAGTAATGAACTTTTAAAAATTAAAAATTTTCAGCAGAGGGATCCTTTACATCTGGAGTTCTTTTCTTTTTGTAAGTTTTAATGGGGACATGTTAGCGTTTTCGCCGATAGTACTGAAGCTCGTGTCGTGTTCAGCCATCTTGAATAGTGTCGAAAGAAAGTCATGTGCCGGCAAGCTAAATTGTGATTAACTCTTTTTCACAAATTTTGTTTAAAACAACTACTGCCATTGGCTGGTATCTTAGTAGGGTTTGAAAGTGAAAGCTAATGCAACTTAGCAGGTTTTGCAAGATTATCGTATTTTTAAATAGCGAAATAAGCGAACTTAGCGAGTTTTGATTTTAAAAACTAGTTAAATATTGTGAAATAGTAGGCCTAAGTACTTCAATAGATGAGCCAAGGGGACTAACTCATTTTTTTCAAAAAAATCGACTTAGCAGAGTTTGCAATTGGACTCCTCAGATTATTGTCGTTCAACACAAACATAAATACCACAAAACTCGCCAGCGCCACACAACATTGGCTTAAAAACAAGATATTTAAAATTCCATCTTTTTTAAACGAAATTCTACTTCCTCAAACTTTTTTTAAAAATTCCGACGTTATTTTCACGGAATATTGTAAAACCCAAACATAGCGACCCAATATTTTTCGTGATCAATAAAAATTGTTCACAATTTACGCGTTATAGCTCGGCTACACTGTAGATATTTGTGAAATTAAATAGTAACCCATCATTTCATTAGCTCTTTGTAAAAAGTCTTCATCAAGCTGGCAGAGGTAACGTAGTCTGAGATGTTGAGAGAAAGGTACCATTAAGAAGATCTTTTTTTTGTTCACAGTAACAAAATTTATATTCTTTCACTTCCTGTAATTCTACTTCTGACAACAAAAAAGGAGATATCTAATTTGTTTTTACTGTTCTCTGCTTCTTGTGGTACTTTTATTGGTCATGTTTGCTGCAGAAGGCTCTAAGCCCAAATATTTATATGTTATAGTCCTGTATTTTGATACAAGCTTCAAAATGCCCTTTATACTATTTCATTCAGATAGCTTAAATGCAGTCCTTCAATTATTTAATATGCGTTGGTAATTCTAAAGGTGTCAATGAAGCGGAAGCAAAATTAAAGCAGATTCATACAATATATTTTTATTCATTTATTCCTAGGTGGCACCGCATCGATCACAGCATCTCTTTTCGTTCTTCTAACTGCAACCTTAACACAACTGAGAATATTGAACTGATTTCTCAAGAAGGTGCTCTCCCTAAAGACATAATCTTTAATTCATACTTTATGTTCATTTTATTAATAATTAACGTCTTTCCATTTATGTTATCTTATTTCTTTTTTATAATTATTATCTTTTGATCTATTGCTAATTTTTATTTCCAAAATTTGAAACGAGCTTTTAATATACATATACAATTTTTATTTAGATAAAATATATCAAATCAAAGTCCCACTTCCCGATGAAACATGAAATTATACATTTCATGAGTTAATTGAGTGCTTAAAAAACAACCAATAAACATTTGATAATTAAATTTTACATACACCCGATAAATATTTTTTAGAAAAGTCATTCGTACACTTAAATGTAACATCTTGCAATTCTAAAACATCAAATTTCAAAAAAGACTCTCCTTATAAAACAAATCTTTAGCGGTTATATTTTTTATTCTTTGTATTTTACAATCGGAAATATATGTATATTTTATAGTCTATGATACAAATGAAAACTTGATGATGTAATGATGACGATGTGACTACTGGTTATATCAGAAATGACACATGTTCAGAAAATTGGTTTGTGAATTTATAAAAGCAAACTGTTGTTTTTGTAAATTTTTAACAATTTAATTTTCTAGAATGAAATTTGATTGTTAACTTATAAAAAAAAAGGTCTCGTCGCTTTTGCTAAAAAAATCTAAAATTATCTTCTATTTTTCTGGCAATTTGTTTTCATCTGCATAGGAAAACCTCTTATTATTAATCTCAAGAATAAAAACTATTGTTTTATAAATAATATAATTTTAGTCAGTTGAAAACAATTATTTTTAAAAAAGTAAGGGCAGCGATGTACTTTTACGCCTTGATATATATGTTTCAATATAAATTCTAGCTTCGTTTTGTCTAGGCATCATTGAATATAGCAGTGGAATCTTCTTATCTTAGAAAAGACTGAAACGTTTTAAAATATAAGAGGAAATGTAAGAGGATACTCAATAGATAAAAAATATTAAATTGAATGCTAAAGTTACAAAGGAAAACAATAGAATGAGATTTAAATTGACACCTTTATAGTGTAATAGAGAATGGTAAAAACTAATAAGATTTTCTAAAAATTGCTTCCACTGAAAGCTCAAAAGAAAAAGTTGGAAGTTGATATCAGTTTGCAAAGTGTTTCAAAAAATATTTTTCATAATTTAAAAAAAAATAATAGTCTATCAAATACGAAATTAAATGCATTAAAAAGTAGAAATTATTTTGTTTTTATTTTCTTAAAATGCATGCATTTTTATTTTAAAGATAAAATGCGATGTTTAATAATGTGAAACCAATTTTGGTACAATTGCAATCTCGCTTATTTCTGTCGCTATGAACACTGTAACTACTTGCTACCTTTGCAGAGGGGAAACTATTATTGATGAATGAAGAAGAACACGACTGGTACGTTGTTGCATTGCATATACGAGATGAAAATAGTGAATTACTCCGTTAACTCCGCCTCTGGCCCCCCTTATCTGTTAATCACTTCATTCAAGTTAACCTTAACACTTCATCTGGTAAAACTCCCAATACCAGAAAGACTCCTATTAGAAAAGATCTTCTTACTTGAAGCAAAAGATACCCATATCGTGAGAAACTTGAGCAGACTTAATGATAGGAGGAGATGGGGACAATCTAGGCACAAAATTGCGGTTCTAGTTATCCATTGCTTTTGTATTTATCATAAATATGTTATGAAACCGACTCAGGTGATCTCTGACTACTTTGCTATTTTCAATTTGGTGTCACCATTGTTGCCAAAAGTGCGAACATTTACGAACATTCCGTAAAAGTTTGATCTAAAATGACTTGGCCGTAAATGTCCGTAAAAAATTTAGTGTGCCCTTAAAAAAAAAAGGAGCCATGATAGAAATATGTTTTGAGCCTTGCTTTAAAATTTTATACTCACAATGAAGGGAAAACTTTGAGAATGTATGACAATTAAAACGATTAATAACAGGATCAAGATTAAGGGTCAAATGACAGTCATTGGCATAGAAACGTACGTATGTTATACTTGGAAAAAGTACATATAGTCATAGAAATATAGTCGTACGGATCATTTATTTTTTAAAGCATTTATAGCCCACTAAAAAAAAATATTCCGTACTTTTATTTTTCAAGATTTAGAATGTCCGTCCATAAAATTCATTTTATTGATGCCATTCTTGGGTGTCCCCTTCCTGAGTGGAGCTCAGCCGGTGAGGCTCGTTTCCCCGTACCCCCTAATGATGCCACTTGTGTATCATAACTTTATAATATGATATTTCTAGCTATCAATGGTCGGCACAAAAATATACTCTTTTGTTTGTGAAGAGGGACTTCTGTTTATTGCAAAATATGTTGTTAAACAAAAAGGCTATGGAGAATCGTTGGTATGAGTTATGCACTGACTTTTATTGGGAGAAATTAATCTCCTATTTTCATTTGGTTCGTTGTAAACAGTGACTAACAAAGGACGATACCATAGATTCAACAATATTAAAGATACGACACCCAAAACAGTTTCTAGTTACAATTAATAAGATTTTTTAAGTCTTAAGATAATTACAAAAGAAAAGAAAATATAATGACATTCTTCAACTTACAGTATGGTAGATCTTGTACCGGTACAAAGTTAACACAGTTCGTATAATGTGCCAATGAATGATTAAATGTGACATAAACACATATGAATATGAGCACACAAATACACAAAGAGTTATACACGTCTCGTAAATTTAATAATTTCTATCTGAATCTCCTTCCTTCCGTGCCTGTCAATCCCTTATATAGGTGGGTCTACCGACGCGTAAGCCCTGCCTTCCAGAAGCTACGAAGCATTTCTAGAACCATCACAATCATTCTACAAACTACTATTTAGAACAGATTAATTATTTTTAGTGGCTGTCGCCATCAACACGACAGGTCAAAAGACTAACCCACACCCATCTGTTAACACAGCGTCTCATGCGGGGTCAATCAGAGAGCACGCACGAGAAAAATTATGTAAAAAAGCTCTATATAACAGTATGCCTTTATAACCTTCAACGATGCCCTAACAGAAGTTTATTGACCTCCTCATCAGGATGATCCTGACTTTTGAGTGCAAATAAACCACTGAACACTGAAACGTGTATTAAATATCAAAGAAATATCACTTGAAAAGTTAATAGCTATTCAAATTTAATCAGATAAATGCATGTATGCACGTTAAACTGGATGAAAATTATTATATTTGAATTATTAAACAAAGCTTAAGAATTGGTGAATTTAATTTAATTAACAAGCGTTTTACTGGCTAAATTTATTTTACTGTTATTTAAATCTGAAGGAAACACTTATAGTTAACTTTCAGAGTTAAAAAAAATAAAAAGATAATGCATTTGATCCTACTTCGTTCGTATAATCTCAAAACGTACTATTTAGTCGTACCATTGACAACCATTTCTTAGAAATGCATTTATTAGCCTCTCTTACATTATTTATATTTCAATACTTAATTGTCCACCCACCTAGTTTCTAGTCCGTTATCTCTGGTTACTCTAAAAAGGTGACAATATGTGGGGTTCAAAGTTCAAAGTCAGGATACCGTATGTCGTGTCGTTATTTGTCTAACTTTGAAACACCACACTTGAAGTTTCTTTTGGCTCTACTTGTCGCTTGGAATTTAAGTAATGAAAATTTGTTGTCAGTAAGAGAATTGAACCCAAAAACGCTTTGATTTGGTTCTGTGAACTTTAACATAGTGTCACAGCTGACGACCTGTTTCATCAAGAACTCGCCATCTCTGGATGAGATGAAAATCTTTACGTTGACTTAATAAACATGCCTTTCTGGAGTCGAAACAATATTGAAACAAGATACACCAAATATCAGGAAAACACGTTTCACTCAATTGGGTCAATATATGTATGAATGCTTTGACGGAATGAGTAAGTATAAATAAACACAGTATTAGGTAATGTAATTTTTATTTTAAATGCATGTTATTTGAAAGAAATAATTGTATACCACATATTGCCGGAAATTATACTCTGTTTTATAGTATCGTTATTCTGGAAATCATCAAAAGAGTTCCAAATATCTTGGTTAAAAAAAGAAAGCTAATTCTATTATATACAAAATTTATTATAAAAATCAATAACATTCATTAAATATAATTAGATACTGCACGTAGGTAAAATAATAATTGGACTGATTTCCTATTTAAGCTCGATAGTGTGATTAAAAAAATTAAACTAATGTCAATACAATTTTTACCATTATATAACTGTATGTAAAATAACCCACCCAGTGTAGTAATTTAACAAATCACTGAATACTTAATCAATATCGAACTGAAAGATATATCTTGAAGCCACTAAAAAATTAGAACTCCATAACTAATTAATTTAATATTATTTATCCAAGTGATCAATTTTGCTTTAAATATTTTTAACTGTGATGTAGCCATTATAAACACTAATGGGATTTAATTTTTATTTAAATTCCCTATTCCACCCCCACGATTATTTTTTTCACCCCCCCCCCCGCATATATATATATTTAAAAGAATTAAATTTATAATTATTATATCTATTATATTTTACAAATTTTGAATCATATTAGATAATATATTATTTTTGGGGTGCAAAGATGACATTATAAATAATAATGTGATTTAATTTTTATTTAAATTTCATATTCCACCCCCAAGATTATTTTTTTCACCCCCCCCCCCCGCATATATATATATTTAAAAGAATTAAATTTATAATTATTATATCTATTATATTTTACAAATTTTGAATCATATTAGATAATATATTATTTTTGGGGTGCAAAGATGACAAACGTTGTGTCGACAGGTAGCACAAGATTGCTTGTGAATCATATTTATGTTTCTAGAAATTTAACGACAGGCAATCGCTCCAAAGGAGGTCCAAAAAAAGCGTTATAAAGTCTCACTGAAAGTGGCACTAAAGGCCTTCAGCATAAACCCTACTCAATGGGTGCAGACAGTCCAGGACAGAGCCAGGTGGAGAGCTGCTGGCTAAATCCCATAAAGCAAATAGGATAACCACAGCTGAGACACGCAGGATTGCCCAAAAGAGCAACATTGGATCACGGTCTGCAGCAACTATCCCTTGCCCGTGATGCCAGAGATTATTCAGAGCACGGATCAGTCTTGCAAGCCCCCTACGAGCGCACCATAACCCATCCTCCCACTAACCGGATGACTCGATGGACGAGCAACAACACTCGGCATGCTGGTGATGTTTTTTGCTTTGGCTGGAATTGAACGCCAGACGACCAACTTGAGATTTGATCAAGTCAGACCACTCGGCCACTCAGCACCACTATTCAAATATCAAGGGGAACAAAGAAGGCAATCATAAGACCAGAAGTAGCTTAAGAAAATGAGTCCTGTTTCCTGCCAGAAAAGCAGAGAACCTGATCAATATATGACCGATGATATACAGTTTTGTTTTGGGAATACGTACAACCAAAAGCTTTATCAATAGTAAAAATACCAATAGTCGCAAAATAAAAAGAAGGCATACAGTCCTGCACATGACACATTGAAATGATGCCGGATTCTAAAGCAGCAAACGATCTACAGGCAGAAACCTAGGGGCAGACGGCTCACCGATCGATCATGACTGAGATGGATTGACTTACAAGGTTTGGGGTTGCGGGCATGAAGGCGGAAAGCGATGGATCTATCCAAATGGAAGAATGTGGTGGAGCAGGCCAAGGTTCTACAGGGGATGAAGCTGCACTGATGAAAAAATTTCAGACATTTGGGTGGAAAATGCTAGAAATAGCTACAACAACAGGAAATCGCTAACTTTTCCACCAGCCCAATATTAACTAATTTCATTCCAGTTAAGATCCCTTATGGTAGCGTTTTTGGCGAGAGATACTCCCTTGCCTAGACTCGCCCCTTAAAACTTTATAGGCATCTGAAAATATCTTTGATCAATTCAAAATGCAAGTATGCATTTTTATACATAGTTAAATTTAGTTTTGCATCATAATACACTTAAGTGGAGAGCAACGGGAGAGATGCTAGTTAAGATTTTTTGTGTCACTTGACCTCAGAACCATCGTGTGAGGTCTGCAACTCGAAAAACTGCATTTGACTCGTATATTTAGGGTCTTAAAGTTGTGCTGTAATTAATTTAAATTATCAACTTTTACTGCTTGGTAGGGAAGAGAAAAACCGAAAAGTAGCAGAGTGCCACAAAAAGTCAGGGGACGTATCTGCTTGACTAAGTGTGTTATAAAATATATATTTCTTTTATTCTATTGAAGAATAATGTGTTTTGAAATTGCATAAAAAAGTAATTAATTTACTACAAAATATTTTTTTAAAGATTTAAAGAGAAATGATTTCAAAAAAGGTATCCATCACAAAAAAAGAGAATCAAAAATAGTTTTATTTTTTTAACAAAAAAGACAAACCAAAAAACACACTTTTATTTCTAAATATTTCCAAGTTTTACCAAAGGGTTAGAAATTTTTAAGGGTTTTAAAAATTGGTATTTATTAATAAATAGTATGTAACCTACATAATTTTTAAGAAGACGTGAGTTTTTTTTTTACAAGAAACATCATATATTATTAATGTGTGATTTTTTGTGTAAAGGAAATCGTATAAAAATATAGTTCAAATTCTCAATATTTAGTGGATGAAAATGTTAATTTAGTTTTTCAAACTACTGTAATTTGCTTCGGATCAATTACAACTTGGCTCTTCGATATTAAACTTTAAACAATTTTTGCCATTCCATAGAATTCATTTTTAACTACTGCCAAAAATTGCATTTACAAGATAATCGAAATACTAGATTTTTTAAATTATATTTAAAAAAGGTTTTTTAAATATATATTTTCTGTCTACTGGATTACCATCTAAAAATGAATATTTAAAAAAAAAAATAGTTCAAAAAGCTGGGGAAGATATAGTATCCTCACATTAAACAGAGAAAGTTGATAGGATTTAATAAACAAAGGCTAAGTGGTTTTTTTTTTTTAAAATAAATAAATGTTCTCTGTTGTTCCCAAAACTGTGTTACAAAATTAGAAACGCACTCGATTTATGAAATGTCCACTATTTGTATGCAACTGATAAATTTCTAATTTTTTCTTTAAAAATATTTTTTTTTTTTTGTTGTTTTTTTTAAGTTTTCATTTTATCTAAATCAAAATACATGCATGGAATCTACTGGATTAACATTTATGCCAAAACGCATCTTTTAAAGCATTATGATATCATACAATTTATAATGAACACTTACTTATCTCTACTTAAACAATCATGCTTTTATGATGAAATATAATTTGAAAACCGATTGCACACGTTTATCACAGACCAAGAACTATATTCAATATATAGACGTTCATATCGATGTAATGTTAGTTTAGTACAGTGTTAAAGTCTTTCAGCTTGTGCAGCTGCAAAGTATAAGTGAATAAAAATATCGATATATGAGAATAAGAAAAGTAAGATTTTTGCTTATGATCAGGATAGGCCAATTTTCAAAACAATACGATATTGTGGAGTGTTCGGACGCGAGTGCAGACCTGGGAAAGGAACTCTATGGACCAGGGACTTATAAATAGGGTCCTCTGGACGGGACGGATAGAGCGCAACCGGACAGAGAAGCGGACAGTGTTGGAGAGCTCCGACGGTATGAGAAGAGGGCAGTCAGAGTTGCCAGATGAGAGAAAGTATAAGCGAAGTGTCAGCTCAATAAAGAACAAGATTATAATCATCAAATGTTATCGCCTGAGTTTTTTCCTTAGTGAATGCCAGATATAGATGAAGGTTAGCAGAGAGCAAGCAAGGTTTCCTTACAATATTAATGATCGAATTATTTGAGCCTGTAACAAAATAACAAGAACAATATGGATAATCAATATATATCAAGCAAAGCGAAATTGTATTGATTCCATCAATTGTAATAGATGAAAGGCAGAGGTGTCAGGACCCACAGGTTTAGAACCAATGATCTAATTCAATTGTTATGCCTAATTAGGCAAAGGCCATCCGTTTTTTTCAGTGCATTTAACTCCATAAATAAATGCAAGACATAGACCATGAAGGTAAACTCAGACAGCTAAGAGCAGTGA